AAAAATTAATTGATGAGTTGGCAGGGCGGGCGACACGGGTTCGCGACGAGGCGCAGGGTGTCGTGGCAAATGTTACAGCTCAGATTAAGCGATTGTTAATTAAAAAGCTACGGTAATTAATACTCCCTACACCATATGGGCTCACGAAAAGGCACAAAAGGTTTCTCCGTGTGTGGGGCTCCAGGTCTCGTTTCTCCTCCCCCATAAGCACTCCAGCCCCTAGAGTCCCCCCTTGGCCCCAGGGTAGGTGGAGCGCGTCACTTCCGGCCAGGAAGGGGACTGAACCGCCATAGACGAGTACCTAGGGCGTCCCTGGTTGCCCAGGAGCCTGGGTTCTTGGAAGGGCCAGGAGCCTCAAGGGGAAGTGGGAGCCTCCAGCGGCCCCGCAGACTCCCCCAGAGTGGAAGAGGCGGCTGCGGCTTTAACCAGCTTCCTTGCTTCCGACGGTGTCTGCTGGAGCCTAGAGGCTTGGAAGAAGGAGGTGCCCTGGCTCCCCCAAGGGGAACCCGGAGGGATAGGAGACTAAGACCCATCCAAGTGCAAGCCAGAAGGTTCAGCTTCCCACCCTCCACCCCTACCCCTGCCTCCCAGAACTCGTGGTAGGAGGGACATCTAGGAAGGCTGGGCCCAGTTTTAGCGAATCCTAGAAAGGCCTTCTGATTCCTATTTGTTTTACAGAGGAAGAAAGGATAGCCCAGTGACTTGGGCAAAGGGGCAGTGACTTACCCAAGATCACCCACCTCGGCCTTGAAATCAGATGGTCTGATTCTTAGATCTTCTTCCCTTCTTTTCTGTAATTGCTCAGCTGCTCTTTGCTGAGAAAATGGGTGACTGAGGAAGGAGTGTGGAGAAATGCAGAAGGACCTTGAGGGGGCTCTTAGAGGAAGCACACCCACTACCAGGACACGTAGGTCTAGGTTGGGAAAAGGGTATGGTTATGATGCAAATGGACCCTCAGTAACTCCCACCAACCACTTGAACACTGTGGCTTCCTGCCCATATACTAAACTAGGGCTTTTGACTCCTGGACTCCCAAGTCACCTTTTCATTTAGAGATAGGGGAACGGAGGTATAGAAAAGAAAGAAACAAAGGATTCACAGCTAGGACCAGGCAGACCCACCTGACACCCTACCTTCTCTCTGGGTCACAGTTTTCTTCCTCACTTCCCACACCGTTGTAGTTACCAAACCCAGTTTACCACCATCAAGTCAATTTTGACTCATGGCAACCCTATAGGACAGAGTAGAACTGCCCTATATGGTTTTCAAGGCTATAAATCTTTATGGAAGCAGACTGCCTCATCTTTCTCCAGAGGAGTGGGTGGTGGGTTCAAACCGCTGACCTTTTGGTTAGCAGCTGAATGCCTTAACCACTGTCCCACCAGAGCTCCTTCTTGGTGTTCTAGGGCACTGATATCAAGGCCTGCCCCAGTACCCTATCATGTCCCTAGCTGGCTGGGCCCTAGAATTCCATAGCCTGTTCACCTCCTAGTACAGAGAATACCCCAGTGCCATTGCAACACCCCATGAAAAGGCAGGCAGGTGGGAGGCTGTTGGTTTTCTCATCCTTGAGTGACAAGTATCCCAGGGCAGAGTTGAGGGCATGGAGATCGCCTGGGAGCACCTGCCATGCAGGTTTGGGGGTTTAGGTGGGAGGATTGGAAGCATGGAAGGAGGTGTACGGGTGTGTCATTGGAGTGAAGGCCCTGGGAGGGGGCAGAGTGTGCCACATGGGAATTAATGCCATTCATACACCCTGCGGAAATGACTTTTCAAATGCATATAATCTCAAGCATGCAAATGAGAGGCTTGCTTCACCCTGTTTAATATGAATGATCGGCCCTTGAATAGCTATTATTACACACCACGTTGCAGCAATTATGTTGTTCACTGGGTGTCACTCTGTACCCCCCCCACACACACACCACCACCACAAATAAAAAGACAGAAAGGAAAGGGACAGATCTGTTTGCATCTTTCTTATTCTTTTTTCCTCCCTTTTTCCAAACTTACTTTATGATCTATAACTTTATGGTGTATACGTGTGTGAGCGTTGAAGGGACCACTGTGCCTTACCCCAGGGAAGTGACTGCTGGATTCTGTTTACTTTCTTCTGTGCACATATACGGTCCTGAGCATCTGGTCTTTGTCCTCGGATGCCTAGGAGTTCTCAGATCTCATAGAAGCTTGACTTGGAATCAGGGCAGGCAGCCGCTTTCCAACTCCAGCAGGGCCAACTGGGGGAGAAGGAGACCAGGGTGTCTCTGCTGTCTCCCCATCCTCTTCATGTAGCTGAGTCCCAGACCTGAATGGGGGAAGGTGCTCTTGGCCTTGGAGGCTGCTGGGAGGGTTCCAGTGTAGGGGGATGAGGTGGGGGTGGGGCCCTGTTCTCTGGTGGGTAGAGGACAGGCACTCACCCCATCCATCATGTGGCAGCCACTGGCCCTCAGGCTGACACGGCCATTAAAGCCTGAGACCAAGTGCTCAATCTCTTCCAAACCATCACCCCCATCCTTGCCCTCACCCCCAGAACAGCTCCTCTCAGAACCCAGGAGTGGGAGCACTAGCTGAGGGGGTGAGGAGAGCAGGTCCTTGGGAACACACAATATAGGGCACTCCAGCAGCATAGAGGCATCCAGTAGGACTCACAACCCAACCAAGACAGGGGTGCCAGAGTCACAGATGGAAAGGGCCATAGGAGCAGCTGCACAGTGCTCATCCACAGCCGCACATAGGGTCAGAAGAGCATGTGGTTATGGAGTCTGTCTAGGCCAAAAGAGAATCAAACTGGAAGGAGGAAACAGTGGGCTGGCTTCCACAGCCTTCCTAAATGCTAGGTGTGGCTTTCCCCCTTGATGGTCTCTGTGTGGTCTAGACCAAGTCTTTGACCTCTCAGAGCTCCATGGTCTTATTTCTGCCAATAGGACAGGTTTCAAAAAAGGGCTGATCATCATGGGGCTTACTCTTTCTGGTGTTTAACCACTGTACCACCAGTGGCTGCTAACTGAAAGGTCGGTTTGAACCTACCAGCCACTCTAAGAGAAAAGATCTGACAGTCTGCTTCCATAAGGATTACAGCCTAGGAAACCTTATGGGGCAAGTCTGTTCTGCCATATAGGGTTGCTATGAGTTAGAATAAGGAGCTCTGTGGTGGCACAGTGCCCAAAGCATTTGACTGCTAACCAGAAGGTGGGCAGTTCAAACCCACTAGGCGCTTTGCTGAAGGAAATGGGGCAATCTGCTTCCTTAAAGATTTACCATCTTGGAAACCCAAAGGGGGTTGCTATGAGTCAGAATCAACTCAATGATAGGCACTCTGGTGATGTAGTGGTTAAGGTATTTGACTGTTAACCAGCAGCTCATTGGTTCAAACCTACCAGCTGCTCCATGGAAGAAAGGTAAAGTGGTTTGCTTCTGTAAAGATTTATAGCCTTAGAAACCCAATGAAGATTGCTGGTTTGGAACCAAGTTGATGGTAGTGAGTTTGGTTTGGTTTTTGAGTTCTAAAGAAAAGGAGCTCTGGTGGTACAGTGGTTAAAGCATTCGACTGCTAACCAAAAGGTCAGCAGTTTGAACCCACTATCCTCTCCTCTCCTTGGGAGAAAGATGGGGCAGTCTGCTTCCTTAAAGATTTTGAGCTTTGGAATCCCTGTAGGGAGTTCTACTCCATCCTTACTATGAGTCAGAATCTACTTGATGGCCATGAGTTTGATTTTGGTTTGGCTTTACAGAAGAGGAAGCTGAGGTTTAGGGATTTAAGAATCATGTTGAAGGTCAATGGTGGACTTCAAATATGTCCTGTTGGACTGAAGAGTCTGGGGCTCTGAGATAGTTGGAGAAACCCCAGAATTTGAGAACAGCTCTGCATACTAAACTGAAGGACCCCTATCTTCATAGCCTGTGTGTGCAAGCCTCTGAGACCCTGGAACTTCCATGAGTTGTGGGAGGAATTCGGTCTACCTCTTGCTGCCCTGGGCTGTCCCTAACATGCCCTCTCTTTCTAGGGATGTTTCAGCCATTGCTTGAGAGGGAGTAGGGTCTAGTAACAACCCCCCCCCCCAAAAAAAAAGAGGTGAGTGGAGAATTCAGGTCTTGAAACTTTACCTTGGGTAAATCAACTAACTCTTTAGATCCTTAGTTTTTCCATGTGTAAAATCAAGATGATAAAAACTAACAATTAGTGTGAGGAGGAATTATGGTGGCCGTGAAGACAGTGAGTAAATATTTATTGAGAGTCTGCTCTGGGCCAGCCACTGGGCTGAGGGCTTTAGAATGGGGGGTCAGAGAAGCCAGGGCTGCCTTCATTGCATACCTCCTCTCCTGGCCTAGCTGAGTGTCTGGCTCCCATTAGGTGCTTGGTAATGGCAGCCATTTATGCTGTAGAACAAATGCTGATTAGAGCCTTTCTGTGTACTGGGGAAAGAGACTCTTGTATGGAAACCCACCCCTGGGGAAACTTCATAACTAGACAGAAACAAGAACAAAGGCAATGACTGGGAGGAAGAAGAACAATATGGCATGTCTGTGGGGAGTAGCTCATCTGCATTTAGGTCTTTGCAGGACCCCTTCCATGCCTCCTCCTCAGTTCAAGCCACTCTCCCTACCCCCAGGCCTGGAGGGCAAAGCTAGAACTGGTTTAGGAATGGAGGGGTGGGGTGAGGGCGTCTCCTCCTGCCCTCTCTCACCTGGAGTCTCTGAGAAGTCTCCCAAAAGCAGTGGAAAGCGGCGGAGGGGGCGGTGGGGCGGCCTTAGCGTCACGGGAGAGCTGCCCTTACCAGGGCCTTAGGGGACTGGTGACAAGGGGATGCACCCCATGAGTGATCTCTGGGAAGTTGAGTAGGAAGAGACACCCCAGGAGCGACCGGGTTCAGTGGTGGTGGTTGTGTTGTGGAGTCGGGGGTGGGGGGGGTTGAGGGACATCAGTTGCTGCCCTGAGTGCATCTGGCCCTGCCAGTCCAGTCTCGAGCCTCAGCCCCTCCCTCGCGTCTCTCCTCCCCCTCCAGGTCCCGCTAGAGCGACATGATGGTGGAATCCGCCTCAGAGACAATCAGGTCAGCTCCGTCCAGTCAGAATGGCGTGGGCAGCCTCTCCGGGCAGGCCGATGGCGGCAGCGGCGGCGGCGGGGCCGGAGCCGCAAGCACAGCGGGAGGCGGCTCTGGTAGGGACGTGGCCGCTGGCGCAGATAGCAACGGCGAGATGAGCCCTGCGGAACTGCTGCACTTCCAGCAGCAACAGGTAGGAGCTGCGCCCCTCCCTGCTTCTGGGGAGGGGGCAAGGGACGCACCAGGCCACATCCCACTGCAGCCTGGCCCCTGGGGCCCAGCTGCTCTGCCTAGCAGCTTCACTTTAACATTCTTGAGAAGGTCCGGCCTCCAAGGACCCCTGTAGCGCCCTTCGCATTCCTGCAGCCACCTTGAGGCCAGGCAGCACAGCATTCCCAAGAGACAGACCTGGGAGGCCTGAAATGCGAGAGCTTGGAACATCTTCAGGAAATGCCAGCAAGGAGAGACAGATGCCTGGGGTAGTAGCACTTTCCCCGGGATCACCCACTTGAGGGTGTTCATCTTGGGTTAGAAGCTTGTGCTTGGGACAGCATCCTGTCTAGTAAGTTACTGGAGTGGAGAGGGGCTGGGGAGGAAGGGCCAGAATTAGGTATGTGTGCATCAGGGGAGAGAGTGATCATGCAGAAGTATCTTCCTTTCATGTGTTTTATAAAATATTCTCATTTCCATCTCTGCCTGGGTTCTGAGCCAAGTTGTGAAGACTGTAAACTTTCAGGCCCATTCCATTGCTGGTTAGTCAATTCCAACTCATAGTGATGCTATAGGGCAGAATAGAATTGTCCCATATGGTTTCCAAGGCTGTAATCTTTATGCAAACAGATTGCCATGTCTTTCTCCCTTGGAGCAGCTGCATTCGAACTGCTGACCTTTCAGTTAGCAGCCAAGAGCTTTAACCGCTGTGCCATACCACAGGCCAGAGCAGCTCCAAAAAGGCCAAGGGGGGTAGGCAAGGGTAGGCTTCTCTGTGTCCTCTTGTCTTCTCCCCACCCCTATCACCCCTACCCTGAACTGCAGAGTCCAGGAGTTCAGGACCAGCCTCTCTGCAGATAGAAAGGCACTAGTGTGGGGAGCCTGACTGGGTGATGACAGAGCAGGGGCCCCACGTCCCAGCCCCACCTAGTGAAAAAGGGAGAATCATGCTTGACAAGTTCAGGAGAACCGGCCCAGCCAGCCCCGGCCTTGGGATTCTCCTCTTATTTGACTTGGTTCCTCCAATCACTGCTGGTGGCCCTGGCCCCTGGGGGCTCTGCTGGGAATGCGGAAAGGCAGGGTCTTACACTGGCCTCCCTGCACCTCTCTGCCCAGTGCCCCCACTCCTTTGTTTTGTATTCACAGATGCAGGTAGCCACACTGCCCTCATTGTCCTCATGCTGCCTCCCCCAAAGGCACTTCTCTCTCCCCAGCACCCTTCCACATACCCCTACCCCTGGTCCTGCCACCTCTCCATAATTCCTAGTAGGCCCTTTCCAAGGAGCTAGAGGTCAGACTGGAGGTAACACTGTCAGAAGCCCCATACCCCACACTGAGCTGATAAGTCAGCACTAAAGCAGGAACTGAAAAAACCTGGGCAAAATCACAGCCAGTCCCTCCTAGGGATACTACCTTGGCTAAGAAATTGTGGGCCTCCCTGAGCCTTGGGCTTCTTGGCACCTAAAGAACAGAGTTGTTAGGATCAGATAAGATTATAAGTGTGAAATCTCTGTTCACACTGGCTGGACACAAAGTGGAGTGAATGGAATTGAGAACTTTAAAAATCAGTTCCTCTTGGAAACGGTGGAGACTGGAGCAAGAAAGGTTTGGCTCCTTTCTCCAGGGAGATGGTCCGGGGAGTTTATCAGCATCTCCCAAGCCATCCTTAAGCAGATTCTCCGGGGGAAGATCCACAGATTTGTGCTGTCCACTGGGGACAGAAGGTCAAAGGCAAAATCTCATCCTTTATCAAAATAATAAAACATCCCACCAGAAGTCTGTAAGTCCACTCATCTTACAAGGCCAGCTCTTCTCCTCCTGCACTTCTAGGCAGGCAAAACTATGAAAACTTTTAAATGTAGCACAGGAGCCTTGGAGGTGCACTGGTTAAGCCCTCGGCTGCTAACCGAAAGGTTGATGGTTCAAACTCATCCAGCCTCTGTGCAGAAGAAAGACCCGGTGATCCGTTCCCATAAAGATTGCAGAGCCTAGAAAACCCCATGGGGCAGTTCTGCTCTGTCACATGGGGTAGGTTGAGTCGGAATTGACTCGACAGCATCCTCCAACAACAGAGAAGAGTACTAAAACTGGGGATTTTCTTTTTAAAAATTATTTAAACAGTGGACACAGATAAGTCTGGAAAACTGTGGAGATGTGTAGGGCGGGGAAAGAGAACTGTCTGTACCGATCAGGTTTCTTCCTTCTTCTTGCACATCAGCCATGTTTTACCCTCTATATTCCAAGTTCCATTTATTTCTGTTTGTTTTGGGGAATATCCCAAAGTCCTGGAAAATCCTATATCTGTTTCACAAAGAAACTGGGGTGGGGATTGGGAGGAGGCAGGCGGTGGGCTGTTTTATCCATTTAGGCTCACTATGGGCTTAGTGCCCAGGGCCAAGGAAAATATTTGAGACTTTAAAAAGGTTTTGTTGGCTCCAAACTATGAAAAGAACCCTGCAAAATTAAAATTACAAAATTTTAATTAAAATGAAACCATCTGTGGACTATCCCTCCACCACCCAATATATGAACAAGCTTCTGTGGGGAGCTTTAGGGGTAACATTTCTGGCACCCCAACAACAAATGACTATCCATGGGATACCACAGCTATAGTAAAGAGAACCTGGCCCCTCACATTTCTTCTCCATCTCAACCCCAGCCACAACAAGGACGTATAAACAAATACCTTGGAGGATAATCAAATACCTTGCATCTGTTGGGTGCTTGGGTCTTTTTTTTCCCCACGTACCCTGTGTTGTTTAATCACCTTCCATCCCTGGGTTGTTGTTGAGTGCCATTGACTTGATTCTGATGCATAGTGACCTTATGCGACAGAGTAGGGTTTTTATTTGACTGCTAACCAGAAGGTTCACGGTTCAAACCCACCAGCTGCTCCATGGAAGGAAGATTGGGCAATCTACTTCTGTAAAGATTTACCACCTTGGAGTCGGAATCAACTCAATGGCAGTGACTTGGGTTTTTTTTTTTTAATCTTTATGGAAGCAGATCTCCAGGTCTTTCTACAGTGGAGCTGCGAGATCATTTAGAACCTCCAACCTTGATTAGCAACTGATCACTTAACTCTTGCACCACTAAGACTCCTTTCATCTTTGGGAGGCTGATAATATTATTCTCACTTCAGAGATGAGGAGGCAGCCCAGAGGTAGGCACTGACTTACTGACTTACTGACTTTACTGTGTCACTGGACGAGTGACACAGTAAAGGTGCAGTGGGACCTCTGGTCTCTCAAATCCTAGTTCAGGGCTCAGAGCATACTCTGTTTGCTCCTATTACATCCATGCAGTCCCCTGCGGGAGATGGAGGGAGCAAGACCTTGAATATAATAGGTGCTAAATAAATGTCTGTTGATGAGTGAATGGAGGCACTCCATTATCAGCCTAAAATAGGTTCCTTTTATAAACAAGAGACACTAGCTCTAGTGCCAGCTGTGAACTCTAGGGGAAGGGGTTTGGGAGTAGACCTGCAGATGATGCATTGGTCCTATCCTCCTTGTCCGAGCCCTTCTCCCTCCATCTGTCTGATGGTCCCTGTCCCTCTGCTCTGCGTAAACAAGCCCTGGAAATGCAATCCTGGCCTTAGGGAGTAATGAGTTGACAGTGGAGGGAGAGAGAGAAACAGGGCAAGTCAGAAGTCAGGCCTGTGATGGGACTTCAGGCAGAAACAAACACTGCTGAAGAGGGCGGCCACGTCACTTTGGAACAAGAGCAGGCACTTGTTTCCATGCAACGAAGCTTGTTTAAACAGAGATGGGAGGGCCGGTGAGGGGTGGTGGTGGTGTGCGTATGTGTGATTTGGCTTAGCTGCCATGTTGGGCCTAACTAGAGAGGTCTTTCTTAGACTGGCTGCCCCATCTCAGCATTAAAGGCCCTAGCTTCAGGTCCCTCTTCCCTGCCAGCCCCCTTGTTGGTGAGGGATGGGGCCACATGACTTCCACTCTGTCCTTGGGGCTTTGACCAAGTCTCCAGTCTCATGCCTCATAGAGAATCTACCCTGGGAAGAAGGTACTGCGGGGCGTACGGCAGGCCTTGGAGCACTCATTCATTCATCAAACAGGCATTGAAACTTGATTTGTGCTGGGCCCTGTGCTGGCCAGCTGGAGGAGGTGACGCTCAGCTGCGGGGAAACCCCATCCTTCACCAAGGCAAAGCCCCATTTCCTACTGCCCCCTCCCTCACATAGTTCCTTTCTTTGATGGTTTTCTTTGAAGGCTGCCCTTGTGTTTTACCCTAATCTAATTTCACCTAAAATGTTATCCTAAACATTTATGAGAATGTTCCAGTGTGCATGGGTGCTTCTCTAGGGAACCCACGAATACCCTTTGTGTGCTCTGATTGGGGGCAATGAGTGCTGGGATAAGTGGGTAACTGCTTTTAAGAGGTAGAGATCCTGAGGAGGTCCTGGATGCTAGGCTGGACATTTTGACTGAGGAGAACTGGACTTGGGGCCAGGAGGGCTGAGCCAGGCGGGGTGGGGGCAGGCTGAACTGCTAGCGGCTGCACTGAAAGGCATCCTGGGCCTCTGGATCTCACACTCCCATTGTCCACGGGTTGCGGGGGTGACAGGTCAGCAAGGGTCACAGGAGGGTTGCCTAGCGTCTGGGAACTCCCACTGCAGTTGCTGTGGCAACCGGGGCCAAATCCCACCCTGTTCACATCCTGTGAGGAGATTCAAAAGGGTTGGGGGGCTCTGCACATTAATAGGCTTTTAACTTACCCCCCTTTAAAGAAATGGCGGGGGGGGGGACAGTGGTCAGGGAGTTGGGGGAGGGGAAGAAGAAGAATGGAGGAGACTTTTCTTTTCCTTTTCCTCCCCATCTGGCTCTCCTCTGACCAAGCTACTTATGGGGATGAGATGAGAGGGGAAGGTTCAGAGGTGAATTAGTACCCCCACCTACACACAAACACACTCAGAGGGAGTGAGTCAACAGTTGTCTTTTCAGGCCTAGGGCACATTTCTCTTTT